GGTTGTCAAGTCTTCTGACATACTGTACACGATGAACCTGTGTCTACAAAGCCTCTAAGAGTATTTGACATGAAAACATGGTCACGACAGGGGCCTGAACTATCCATAAGTATATATATATACATAGGACAGTCTGATAACCTCTTGACTCGGCTATACTACATATGAAATGGAGCTTCACCAATCCTCAGTTGGATATCAACTCCATCTATGTTAAGATCCTGTCAAACTGGATATCTAAACCTGCAGGCATGAATGCAGTGCCCCGACGATGGGACATTAGTATAAATAAATGTACTAAGTATGTAAGACAGATAACATATGAATAAGGAATTGAAACTGAACTGATATGTATATATGATATACTGAAAGTAATCTGGAGGGTCAATGAAATTCGAGAATCATACTTACCTTATTCGGACTCGTAACATATCTAAATTATTGAATTATCCAACTTACCTTACAAAGGATTTAGATTGAAAAGGGAAGGCTCCGTTGGCCGAGAACATCTAATGTCGCGACTTTCGTATATACATTTAATTTGCATTATGATATACCTGAACTTGTTCCCATATGCTATATGTACTGGAAACCATCATATTATGGAACTTCATCTTATATCTGAATAGTTACCTCAGACAGATCAAACATCTCTAGGGCTACACTAAAACATAAAAGTGGCACTTACGCATTTCAATGGAGACCGTCCGTAAGGCTCACTCAACATGAATAACCAGTGGCTCGTACGTGCAACATAGTCCATCCCTACGGCTCACAACAATCATGAATAGCTAGGGGCTCGTACACGTAACATAGTAGACCATTCGTACGCATCATAATACAGGTCTGGTTATGCGTGCAACTGAGACTGTCCAAAACCAACCCTCATTATGCACCTATGCGTTCATAGACCGTCCATAGGTCTTCAAAGTACACCTACGTGTTCATAGACCATCCGTAGGAATCATGTCTTATACATATTCATTTTATATAACTCGTGCAGACATCATTCAATCATCAATAGATAAACTCGTATTCATAAACAAATATGTTCGTGAGTAACTCGTTACAATAACCAATCCTTATTCCTTAGTCGCTTTCTATATTATCGTTCGAATTCTATATTATTTAGTCGTAAAGAACATTGTAACTATTTCAGAATCGCACTTTTATCCTTATATCACATCACGACTAATTTTTGGGGATTACATGATTCTATCTACTTTTAGCTATGTAATATGCTTAGTTTGTGAGACTACTCGTTTTATATATATATATATATATATATATCAATACGTAACAAGAGATGCGGGATTAACGCTCTATCAACTTATATTCTTATTGCTAAAGTTATCATATTCTGTAGTTTACGAATCTATAGGTAACGTATATCGTCTCTTAACATCACCCTTATATATAATCAACCTTACTTAACTTGAGAGCAACGTGACTTTTCTTCATGGGTCTTTATCAGTTTTGTGAACACAAACGTGGTAAGTATTGGAAGTCAAGGCATTATTTAGGTTGAATAATTCTTATCATTCTGCAAACTATATATTATTCTACCTTGTTGAACTATTTGTGTATAACTTTCCCTCATTATACGGACATTATATTGCTTCTGATTCATTAGACCATTCACATGTAATCCTTAATTGACATATAGATATGTCTTGTTACATATAGAAGACAAGCACCTTTCGGAAGCTCTATTTACTCCTTAAGAATATATGAAACTACGACCAACACAATCCATTTCAATATTCGTATGACTACACTCGTGAACGGACCATAATCGTCAGAATAGTATGTATAGAAAGACACGCCCCCTTGAATTCCTTATAAGGGCAACGTAACTTACAGAATCATGCCAAAGAAAAGGAAGGAAGACCTTACGTACCTCATAATATCCTATCCAATCCTCAAGCTAACTTAACCTGCATCTCCTGTGTCTACAAGCAATGAACAATACTATCGTCACAATACGAATGTCATAACTTATCGCATTTGAATGACACAATTATTCTATAAGAAAACTGACAGCACATCCCATGTTTATATGAATTCCCACACATCACAACAGCCAACAACAACTTAAACAACATCTATAATACTCATATTAAGCCTCCCAAATAGTCTATCATTCAATAACCTTACTAACAAGCTTTTCGATAGATATCTCACAAGTTCTAGCTTCCACGACTTAGCCGCAACTTGGATAAGCTTAAATATATGTATAGTCAGAGTTTCCTTAACTTTAAACAGATAGACCAACTCGAATTTGAGATTACTTCACCACAAAGTATCCTTCTAACATAGCCACAAGAACAAGGAAGCAAAACTAGCAGGCACTTCGAGTTTCTCGGCACTAGAATCCCTTTGGAAGACATGAAATCACCTAGGGTTGATATAAAAACCTTGGAGGAGTATTTTACATAACTTAAACAACTTAAACCCCCCACCCCCCGGACACATTAGATAGAACCACAACAAAATCTGCAACCACAAGAAGAACAAGAACTCTTTAGCGCCACAGGATTCCCAACACTTGATTTGTGTTGTTTGTCCTTTGTTTGGGTCTTGAATCATGAGAGAACTTTGAGAGAAGGTTTTAGGTGTCTGGGATCTGAATAGATTGAAAACGATTGAGTAAAAACGGGTTGTAGGCGTCACATATATATCAAGATATCTCAACCGAATAAGTGGGTCCCATTGGGAGCTGCTTGCGCAGTCTCGCACAAATATGAATATCATTCAACTCCAACATTGTATCAACGGACGGCTAAATAAGTTAGAAAATAGACTTGTAGATCTTCAATTTTTTAGGTGGATCATACCGTAATTCTAAGTATATTGGGAGAAAAGCTCAACTATATTTGACCTAATTTTCAGCACATTTATGAATGTAACTTGTGATCACCTTTGCCAACTTTTGTTCCAAAACTAGCTTGACTTCAAAACCTAACAAACGACTATCATACCACTAAAATAACTCATGACATAATCTACTTATAATATTAAGCACCCTAGTCTCACCCCAAAAGTACATGTTATAACATTCCCAACTTGTCGACTTTCGACGAAATTTATTTTCTTCAATTCGTTTAGTTTCTAAGCCTTCTGACATCTTGGTACTTGTTAATGATGATCTTAAATATTTGTAATATCCAAGGTAAAATGAATAACTTACTTTATGTACTTCCAAAGATGATCTCATTTTCGAGCTTACATCAATTGATTTACGACGTACTTTTACGTATGAAAATATGGGGTGTAACATCCAAGTTCGCAAATGCGAACCTTTATTCGCAAATGCGACGAACGGGCTTTTGAACTGGGCAGTTATGGAATTTCAATTTTTTTGTCCCAAATCACACAAATACTCGACCTAGCTCATTTTGGAAAAAACATTTGGCAAATCTTTGGCCTTTTAAACTGAAAATACAAGCTTGGAGTTAGGGTTCTTGCACTCACACTTGGGAGTTGAAGATTTGAAGACTTTGGATGAGATTTTCTTACCCAATACTTGAAACTTGTTTATGGAAATATTCATTGTGAAAGTTTGGATTAAATCTCTTGTTATGCTTAGTATTGAATGATTTATTAATTATGAAGTGAATTAATTTTTTCTTTAATTATTCTTATTTTTTAATATTTTTAAAAGGGATTAGCTAACCCTAGGACTCGCCATTAACTTCGGTTTAATCTTGAAAAAGACAAAATCGGGGTTGGAAAAAATTAATTAACAATAACTTGAGGCGTTAATCCTCATTTTATAGATTCTACCTAGGGATATGATTGAACTATTTGTAGCTACATTCGGGTGTACTTTATTCTCCTAATTATTTTAGGTATAATTCAATTAGGAAGTCTTGTTAGTTTTCAGAAGAAGCTAATATAGAATTATAATCCAAGGCTAATTAACATAAACTCGCTCATATGTGTAAAATTATAAAATACATTGAATCATTACTTGAGTGTAATTCCCCGTGTATCCATGCTTGTAGTCATTGATCATTTTACTTTCTTTCTAGGTTAGTTTACATTTTCGTATTAGTTATAATATTTACTCAAAAACACGTAATAGTTGTTGGCTTAGCATAATAAGCGATAATTCTCTTACTTGCCTAATCACCTATATATTGTTCCCTGTGGGATTTGACCCCAACCATGTTGGGTTTTTATTGCTAATGACTGTGCTACGCTTTATTTAGAGGTGTAGGATTGGACTTCACCAGACTCCCAAGGAATCCCATCTCACAGCGGTAAAATGTATCATTAGATATCTTATCAGTATAACTGAATTTGATTTATGGTATCCTTGCTCTAACAATTTTAATCTCAAAGGATTCTCAGATGTGGACTTTGTAGGTGACGGAAATGGTGAAAAAGTACAAGTGGTCGTGTCAATAATTGGAAAATGCTCTAATATAATGGCATAGCAAGAAACAAAATTGTATTGCGCTATCAACTACAGAGGTTGAATATCTCGTAGTTGGAAGTTGTTGTACTCAAATATTATGGATTATTCATTAACTTTTAGACTACGACCTTCATCTAATCTCCACTCATATTCTATGTGATAATACCAATGCTATTTGTCTATCAAAAAAATTTGTACATTACTCTAGGGCCAAGCATTAAGCATGATTTTATTCATGATCATGTTTTCAAAGGTGATATAATGTTATAATTTATTAATATCGAGTTTTAACTTGTTGATGTTTTTAAAAAACCTCTCTTGAAAGAAAGATTTTGCTCGATACGAAATCAAATTGGTATTATGCCTGCTCCTTAAAGATTTTTACTTAATAGAATCCTACTATATTTTCAAAAATATTTTATTGCCTTGTGCAATGTATAGTCTTTTGATGGCATCCGTTAATTGCATGACTGATTTTCATTATTACCTGCTATATGAACCACCGAAGAAACTATTCAAAATAGCCACTTCATCACCTTTTCCCACATTTTCTCTTCAATCGAGATAACCCCTCACACTTTCCTTAAGTCCTTTTAAACCATCCCCCTTCACTCTTCTATCACTTCATTACTACTTCTCAGACACTCGTCTGTTATGGCTAAACCTAAAACCTTCTCCTTTTCCAATGCCACACGGCATAGCCACTATTTTCAGAAAGCCCAAACCCCAGAAAAACTGTTGATCTAGAATCATCCCTTGATTCTGACCCTCTCAAAACTGATGATGAAAGTAGTAACTCTTCTGAAGACCAAGTAATAAGCCAGAAAAGGGTCGGTAGGAGACCTATGGACCAGACCCCAAAAAGGTTTGCTTGCAAGAAGGGAAAAGTTGAAAATATTGATTTTGGGCATGAGGGCAAGATGCTTTTCTACGGACCCCGGAGAAATCAAAGTTTAAATCTTACAAATCAATATTCATGGTATATGGTTGCACTGTAAGTCTCTCTCTCATGAAGGATACACATTGTGATGTTGTCTCAATCTTGACTTTTAACGATTATTACCCATGTTTGCTACTGTTGGGAACATTGTGTATGAAGAACATGTGCGAATGTTCTATGCAAACTTGTTTGTCAATGATAAAGACTAGTTGAAATCTATGATTTTGGGTACTCATATTATGCTTGATGCTTATTAGTTTTAGAAAATCTTTTCTTCAAAATTTCATGTTTATGATGTGTTTGTTCTAAACTCTTGGCCAAAGGATTTCGAAGTTTCTCTAGATGAGGCAAAAGTTATGCTATCTGAAAATTCCCCAAATATTGGCCCTAAAAGCTTGAAATTGGAACATGACATGATTGCAACTACTCTTTTACCAAGAACTGGTTCTTTTAGCTCTTTGATTACCAGAGACATCTTTGTACTTTACTGTCTTGTGCAAAACAAAAGGCTTGAATGATTTATATGGATCCATCAGTACATGCTAGATAGTATTAGAGAAGTCTCATCCTCTGCCTCATATTCAACATATGGTATACTTATCTCACATATTTTTGAAGTGATGAAAGTAGACCTTCCACCTTTTTCACCTAAGCTTATCTCTATCACTTATGATAAGACTGATTTTACTATGAAGGCGAGTGAAAGCACCAGAGGCACCAGCAAATGCTGAACCACCTTCTGATCCAGTTAAGATACAGATGACTGCTTCTAGCAACCTACATCAGATTCAGTAAGGGTTGGAAGGCCTGACAAGCATGCTCATAACCATGCAGGAACAAGTTGACAAGGAAGGAGAAGTGACAAAGGAGATAGGAACAGATGCAGCTAAGCTAAGGACGGGCATTGGAGCTACCAAGAATCAAGGGATCAAGGCTTTCCAGAACATGGCAGACATGATGGACAAGCTTTTCAAAGATGTTGAGACCTCATATGGTTCCTTCTGCACTAATGTTATCAGCACCCTAAGTACTTTCTAGGGAGAAACTAAGGTTGATTATGTGCTTCGCCAAAAATAATCTTTTGCCATAACTAGTATTTTTATTATTAGATTTTTTGGACTATATGAAATTATTTGCTACTACTGTTATTACCCTATTTGTCTTGCATTGTTCTATCCTTTTTTATTGATGTCAAAAGGGGAAAAGTAGAGAGGAAGAGGCAATGAGTCACCAGGAGAACCACTTCAACAACACAGGGGAAGCACGCAAACATACAGAAAAAATATCATTCACATTATTACTCTTTTTTATTATCATCATCAAAAAGGAGGAGATTGTTCAACCTTAAGTTTTAATAATGACACATTTATTAATGGTAATACTAATTTCATTTTAATCTGTACAGGAAAATAGATCAATGGAAGAGAAAGAGACGATAACTGCAAAAGGAAAGGAATGCAAGTGATATGTCTAAAATCAAGTGATCAAGGAAGAGCTAATTGAGATTCAAATATCCGAGATCACAGGAAAATCAAAAGAGCGTCAATCGGACAACTCAGCTTACGGTAAGATATGTCACCTAAAAGAAATGATAGAGACATCAACTCTCAATCAACATAATTGTCCAATAATCCCTCCGAAGGATATGGCAAGCACAAGGAAGGAGACCGTATTCTGTTATATGAATTCAGTCATCATCTATTGACTGGATTCAGAGGCATCTCTTAGAAAAAGTCTTGCCTCAATCAAAGAAATATATCAATCTTGCCCACTATCAATGAAGATCTTGTTCACTGAAAATAACTCGAGACATCAACCACTGCCTATATGAAGAACTCAAAGAGGGAGAAAACTGTGCACAACTTCACATACAAGCTTTTTACATCTTTCTTGTTCTTAGTCAAATATTGTATTCTTGAGTTTATTAGTGTCACAAAAGATAGAAAGAAAAAATAAAACAATCAAGAGGTTATGTCAAAAGTTGGACAAACATTCGTCTGTATATCGTTGGCGATGAACGAAGGAAAACCACTACCATTGTAACAAATCATTCTTGAAGATCTAAGAGAACCCTTGTGACCCAAGGGAATTGGATGTAGCTATCACACCGGTACACAAACTAATATAAAACTCTGTGTCTCACTTATTCTATCTTTTTTTAATTCTCTTCATTGTTATTATGCTCTAACCTAGTTTCTGCAGGAAAAAGAGTCGATTAATATCATAGTTGGTCAACTGATTTTTAAATTTGGCACGATCCACCCCTTCCCTCTTGTGTTTCAGGCTATTTTATCTTGAGATACAAGTGCAGTGACATCCGATATGACGACGTAGCATCTAGCATAAAGGAGGGATAACCTGTGCCTATGGTGTCAAAACCAGTACTATAGTACTGGAATTATCGAAGTTGATAGTTCCCCCTACAACTAAGATTCTAACTAGCATTATAGCATCCGTTTCAGAACTGTAGAGCTTGATAGAGGGCATATTTCTCTTTCTTGTTTCAATGAATTTCAAATAAAACCATAATAATTCCCACATATTACGACGACCGATAGGTCGTTTTGAGTACTAACCCTTATTTCTACGTTCCTAGACTTCCCGTAGATTTACTTGATGTTTCTTGGTTTGCATGCATAGTCCGTGTCACTTTTCGAAAAATATTTATATGAAATTTTGATTAAAATGAAAATTTTGATTAAAAATAAGGTAGGGTTGACTACGATCAAAATTCTTGGTAAACAATCTCAAATCGATATTCTGACGATACCGTTGGATTCGTATCATGATTTGGACTTGGTCATATGGACAGAATCGAATTCGGAGGTCCCTAGGTTGATTTGACTTGTTTTGCCGAAAGTTAACAATTTAAATGTTTGAAAATTTACTAGGTTTGGCTGTAGCTTGACTTTGTGGTTAACGGGTTCAGATTTTGATTTTGAGACTTGGTGTAGGTCCGTTTTGCTAGTTGAAACTTGTCTGCAAAATTTGGTACAAATCGGAGTTGGTTTGATTGGATTCTGACGCTTGATTGTGATTTTAGAGTTTCTTGAGTTTTCTTTGAAATTTCATGCATTTTGATGTCCAATCCGTAGTTCTAGATGTTATTTTGGTGTTTTGACCTTGCGAGTGAGATCGTATGAGGTTATTATACTTGTGTGCATATTTGGCCACTGTGGAGCCCGAGGGGCTCGGGTGCGGATGAGTTTTGGATGAAATGCTATAGCTGGTGCATTCCTATTTCTGGTGTTGGTCTCCAGATCTCGCATTTGCGAAGTCTGGCTGGGAAATGCGATCCTTGCTTTTGCGATCAAGACATCGCATTTGCATGCAGCGGCCTGGGCTGGGTGATCTCGCAATTGCGAGGAATGAGTTCGCATTTGCGAACTATCTGAGGTCGCATTTGTGATTCAGTGTTCTGAGGTGTGGTAATTTATCGCATTTGCGAGGGGGGCTGTTCGCACTTGCGAACATGTTATCGCAATTGCGACTACTGGGCTTCTGAGTCAGTGTTCTGAGGTGTGAGCTTCGCATTTGCGAGGGGGGCTGTTCGCACTTGCGAACATGTTATCGCAATTGCGACTACTGGGCTTCTGAGTCAGTGTTCTGAGGTGTGAGCTTCGCATTTGCGAGGGGGGCTGTTCGCACTTGCGAACATGTTATCGCAATTGCGACTACTGGGCTTCTGAGTCAGTGTTCTGAGGTGTGAGCTTCGCATTTGCGAGGGGGGCTGTTCGCACTTGCGAACATGTTATCGCAATTGCGACTACTGGGCTTCTGAGTCAGTGTTCTGAGGTGTGAGCTTCGCATTTGCGAGGGGGGCTGTTCGCACTTGCGAACATGTTATCGCAATTGCGACTACTGGGCTTCTGAGTCAGGATTCGAACATGTTATCGCAATTACTAATATTATCGCAAATGCGACACCTGCAGCTGGGTAAAAGATGAAAAAGTCGGGACTTAGCTCATTTTACACCATTTCTCAACCTTAAACACTCTCGAGGTAATTTTTCAAGAGATGTTTCTTCCCAAAATCATTAGTAAGTAACTTTAATCCATTTCTTTTCAATTACCCATTACTTTTGATGTGTTTTCAACATCAAATCTAGGATTTTCATGGTAGAAATTAGGAATTTGAGTAGAAATTGGGAATTTTATTAAATTGAGACTTAGACCTCAAATTGAGTTTGAATTTCGAAACAAATCACATAACCTGGCTCGGAGGTGAATGGGTAATCGGGTTTTGGTCCGAATATCGGATTTTGACCAAGCGGTCCCGGTGTTGACTTTTGCTGAATTTTTTCAAATTCATTAAATATTGAATCTTTTTCACTCGTGGGTAGTTTCTAAAGCCTAATTTGAATTATTTGAACTATATTTGGTTAGATTTGATTTGGTTGGAGGCTAATTATAAAAGAAAAGATGTGGTTGTGCCTTGATTTGGTTGCAGAGCGAGGTAAGTGTCGTGGGTAACCTTGACTTGAGGGATTAGGACTTGTTGATCTATTTTCTACGTGTATTATGAGTTGGGACAACGTATATGTGAAGAGACGAGAATATATGCGTTGCCATTGGGTTAAAGCATGCGGGTGGAAATTGCTTCTTTGTGTTTGATTGTTTCATTGACTAAGTTTTCCATGCTTAGGTTAGATTATTACTTCTTTAATTATTCGTCTCGAATTTATTGTTTATTTCAAAGATGTTGGAAATCTTGAAAGTTGAATTTGCTATCATGGCATTACAATTGAAGTGAAATTGCTTCTCGCCTTGCATTGTTAATTCAAATTTATATTGTTGCTTAATGAGGAAGAGTGAAAAGCACGAAGGGTGTTGTCGTGCCTTATTTGCATATATTACCATCTATTGAGAGGTTGTGAGGATTAAAGCACGAAGGGTGATGCCGTGAATTTGATTGCTTATCATCATTATCATATCATGTGAGGTTGAGAATAAAAGCACGAAGGGTGCTGCCGTGCCATTTTATTTATGATATGACATGGTGAGGACGAGAGTAAAAGCACGACTAGTGATGCCGTGCCATCTTTATTACATTGCCTTATTTAATTCCCGTATTGGTGATTTACTTGGTTACAATGTTGCTCATTTCGGAAAGATATTATTCGGTGATTTCATACTTGTCGTTCTTATAATATTTCCTTTCACATGTCCCCTCCTNTATATATAGGATTTTACGTAGGTATCTTGTCATAACCTCTTCACTACCTCGTCAAGGTTAGGCTCGACACTTACGGAGTATATTGGGTCGGTTGTACTCATGCTATACTTTTGCATTTCTTGTGCAGATGCTGGCATTGATTCCAGCGACGTCTAGTGGTGTTCTGCTCGGATTCAGCTACATTTGGAGACTTGAGATATAGCTGCATAACGTATGCAGCCCTAAAGTCCCCTTCTTTATCTATTCTATTATTTATCTAGTCTCAAACAGCTGTATTTGCTTCAGACCATATGTGCAGTACTCTAGTTTCTCATGTATTCGTGACTCCGGATTCTAGGATATGTTTAGATATCGTCATTAGTACTCTATATTCATTTTAGACTTTTTCGGTTTATTGTTTATTAATGTTTTATTTTGGATTGTTAAAATTAGTTAAGAAATCTAGCTAATGTTGGCTTGCCTAGCAAGTAAAATTTTAGGCAGCATCACAGTTCCAAGGGTGGGATTCCGGGTCGTGACACATATATAATTTAATCTTTTCTGGACAACATCCAATATGATCAAACACACTCAAAATCAGAAGTTAACAGACAACCACATGTAAAACACCTCTTTCATAATTAATTAGCACTATCAATTTTATAATTGACAAGGGTATTACAACTTTACTTTGATTTATTCTAATTAATTTTAGTGAATCGAAGAAGATATCTTTAATTCTTCTATTCTTTTTCCCTTTTTTGTGGTATTGATTCTTTAATGCTAGTATACACGACTTAGTTGACGTGCAACATCCTTTCAATTCCTTCCAATTTCTTCAAAAATTATCACTCGACCAAATATTACGAGGCCAAATGTAAGCGTCGCATTTTTAATACAAATCAAATTCCTTTTTCCTCCTTGATTACTTTCAGCTCATGAATTGAGTGAAGCGTGAATTTCTTCGAGCCTTCTGCCTTTTGTTTCAGGGATCATTTTGTAGATAAAGATCGTAGCAAGTAGGCAAACAAATGCATATAGGAAAAACGTTCCTGCATATTAAGAAACAAGAAGAGAAAATGACATTATCCATCGCCTTGTATTTTAAAAAAACAAACGTATTTTCTCATACAATTATGAGTTTATATAATTATCTAATATCTGATGAGCTGAAAGCAACACCTAGTCAATTAAGCCTTCTCTACACCTTAGTACTATCTCAATTTGCATGACACTCTTTCTATTTTGACCGTTTCAAAAAATTTAATATTGCACGGCCGGATCCAGCCTTAAGCTTGTGGGTCCCCATAAACCTAATAGTTTTTTCTCAAAATCTGTATATATATTAAGAAAGCCATTTAATATCTATAAATATTTGACTATGAACCCACTAAATATTGTATATATAACTTGAGGTCGTTGTAGGAACCCATAAACTTTAAATTCTGGATTCACTCTGCTTGTAATGTTATTTTACACAACTTGTACCAAGTTATTATATTTTAATCAATTTAACTAAGAGAGAATTTCAGAAAAGTACAATCCAACACACTACATCTCATCTATATGGTCATATTATTAAGTTAGCCCTTTTCATTTTTTTTGCAATATTATACACTTAGTATAATATTGTATACTATAACGATCCGGCCGGTCGTTTTGAGAATTTAAGTCCTGTTCGGCAGCATAAGGCTCTGAGCAGCTTCGTATTATGTGTATTGACTTGCGTGCGTGGTTGAATTCAGTTACCGGATAATTCAAAACACTTGGTCCCTAAAACAGATGCTTAATTCGTAGGATTTTGACCGTAGTCAGAATTGTATGAAGACAACTCCGGAATGGAGTTCCGTCGGTTCGGTTAGCTCCATTGGGTGATTTTGAACTTAGGAGCGTGTCCGGACTGTGAATTTGAGGTCTGTAGCTGATTTAGGCTTGAAATGGCGAAAGTCAAATTTTTGGAGATTTTAACCGGAAGTGGACTTTTTGATATCGGGATCGAAATGCGATTCCGATAGTTGGAACAACTCCGTTATGTTTTTTGGGACTTGCATACAAAATTTGACATCATTCCGGGTTGGTTTGATTGGTTTCGGCACGAGTTTTCGAAGTTGGAAGTTTTGAAAGTTCATAAGTTCGATTCGTGGTGCGATTTGTATTTTCGACGTGTTGGATGTAATTTGATACCCCAAGGTTCTGGTATTGGAACCCGTGAGTTGTGATTTTATCCAAGGTTCGGTATCTCGTGGAGTTTGTTGACTAAAACCTGATGTAAAAGCGGTTGTAGTTGCTGAGTTATTACTTGTCCTTTGTTGTATTTGTGATTCCGGATTTAGGTTGTGTTCCATTCACTTTTCTGTGTCATTTTTATGGTATTCCACTGATACTTGTTGTTTCCTTTCTTATTGCCATTACTGTATTGAGAGCCATATTGCATAGTCTTTATGTAGATATCATATTTTTGTTGGTCATATACTTATACTTGTACAGTTTATTAGACCAGTGGGTATCTTGACTGTTCCTCGTCACTACTCCACCGAGGTTAGTCTTGATACTTCCTGGGCACCGCTGTGGTGTGCTCATTCTACACTTCTGCACCTTTTTGTGCAGATCTAGTTATTTATTCGTTAGCTAGATGTATGGACTGTTGCTGTGGAGACTCAAGGTAAACCTGATGTTGCATTCGCAGGCTTCGGAGTCACCTTCAAGTTTTCATTTTACACTGTTTATTCTTATTTCTGGACAGTTGTATTTGGAAATTTTCTAACAAACACTCTGTAGAGCTCATGACTTGTACTACCCGTTTTGAAAATTTTAAATTTTAAGTGATTTCTATTTCAAATTGTTAGATGTTATTTAAATAATGTTGTTTCAATTAATGTTAGGCTTACCTAGTCCCTAAGACTAGGTGCCATCACAATACCCAACGGAGGGGGGAATTGGGTTGTGACAAGTTGGTATCAGAGATCTAGGTTCATAGGTGCTACGAGTCATAAGCGAGTTTAGTAGTCTTGCGGATCGGTACGGAGACGTCTGTACTTATCTTCGAGAGGCTACAGAACTATTAGGACAGTTTTACTTCCTTCATTCCTATCGTGCGAAGTCATTGATCTCAAAGTTTGAACTTTTATCATTCCATTCTCTCACAGATGGTGAGGACACGAGCTACAATTACTGATGACATTACCCTCGGAGCAGATGTCGCTAGGGGAAGAGGCAGAGTCCGACGAGGAGAACATGTCGCAGCTAGGGCACCTACCAGGGCAGCAGTTGAGGAGCCGCCAGTAGCTCCAGTTGGGGGACAAGTACCGGAGGCGCCTGCTGTTATCCTCGGACTTCAGGAGACTTTAGCACAGTTCCTGAGCATGTTTGGTACATTGGCTCAGGCGGGGTTGACTCCGGTTGCACCAGCTATTTCACAGACTGGGGGAGGAGCCCAGACTCCCTCCGCCCACACCCTAGAGCAGCGAGTTCATATTGGTCAGGTTCCAGGTATCATGGCGACACAGTCTGTGGTTCCAGTTTAGCCCGTGGTCAGGGCAGCAGCATCTAAGGAATAGCAGTTTAAACTTGCAAGGTTCAAGAAATATGACCCTCCTACATTTAGTGATTTGGCTTCAGAGAGTGCACATGGTTTTTTGGAGGAGTGCCACCGCATTCTCCGCACTATGGGTATTGTTGAGGCGAGTGGGGTTGCCTTTACTATATTCCAGCTCAGGGGACCGGCTTATCAGTGGTGGTGGGCATATGCGTTGGGTAGCCCAGCCGAGTCAGCTTCACTTACATGGGTTCAGTTTTCAGAGATGTTCCTGAGAGAGTTTGTACCTCAGTTCCTTCGAGATGCATAGCGCGCGGAGTTTGAGCAGCTGCGCCAGGGCACTATGTCAGTGTTAGAGTATGCCGTGAGATTCAGTGATTTGGCCAGGCATGCACCTGCTTTGATCGCCACAGTTAGAGAGTGTGTCCGTAGATTCATTGAGGGACTCAGGCATGACATTCGGTTCAGCATGGCGCGGGAGTTAGAGTCAGATGTTTCGTTTCAGTAGGTGGTAGGGATCGCTCGCCATGTAGAGGGCATGTGGGATCAGGAGAGAGAGGACAGGTGGGGCCATGAGAGAGAGTACATGCGAGATCAGGAGACAGGGAGGCAAGGAGGCCTCGTAGACCGGAGAGATCTACTGGTCATTATTTTGGAGGCAGGGTACAAGATGGTAGAGGTTTTATGGGTCAGCCAGTTCAGTTTGCACTTCAGGCTTCGCATAGTGTTTCCTTCAGAAGCTTGAGATTCCTGAGTGGAAGTGAGAGCATATTACCATGGATTTTATTGTTGGGCTCCCACGGACTTTGAAGAAATTCGACGCGGTATGGGTCATTGTGTACAGGTTGACCAAGTCGGCACATTTCATTCTAGTAGCAGTTACCTATTCTTCAGAGCGGTTGGTTGAGATCTATATTCGTGAGATCATTCATCTTCACGATGTGCCGGTGTCCATCATTTCTGATCGGGGTTCGCAGTTCACATCGCACTTCTAGAGGGCCGTACAACATGAGTTAGGCACACGGGTTGAGTTGAGTATAATTTCACCCCCAAAGTGATTGAATGTGGTTGTGGTAAGAGATTGAATGTAGTTGTGGAAGAGTTTAGTCAGAGGAACTCGATTTTGCATCATGCTTATGATGAGTAAATGTGAGGTTTTCAGCAAATCATGTGTGTACTAAAACGTGTAAGCTTCTTGATAAGGAGCCCTAAGGCATGAATATCTATCCGCCCATATGGTAAAAAGCAATAAGAGTATCAGAAGGAAGATACAAGTTGCAATAAGTAAAAAAAAATAAGGTGAAGAAGGGTACGAGGTACCCAGTTAGTGAAGATTATCAGTATTTATCATTCAGGCAGAGAAATATAAGCATTCTGAGTTACTTTCAACAGTAACGGAGATATATACAATTGGCCACACCCATCTCAGTTATGCCCTATGGGAGCTAACAGAATATAGTTTAAGAGAAGGAAGGGATATCAGGATCCAGCTGCGGTTAGAGTAACCCAAAATTGTTGATGGATTGTTATCATTAGCTAACATTTCCGAAGATAGTACAAATGTGGTAATAGATCTCCTTGTGAGACACCCAGATGGTGAACTCAAGAATAGTACAGTCATATATGAATACTAGAATATTCAGAAGTTTCAGAAGATAGGCAGTGGGATTCTAGAAGGGATAAATATTTACCTTAGTATGACTCCAGCCCCTAAAAAACAAACGAGAATGTTAGGCGTCCAGAAGAGCCAGTGAGATAAAGCAAGGGGAGCTAAATGTGAAAGAACGTTTTGTTGAAGTTTTCAAAATAAAGTGATAGACAGAAATATTAGTCGGAGAATAAGAAGAGAGTAAATGAAGCATTATGAGTAAGAGGTGATAAATGAGTGATAACGGTAAATCAAAATATGACATGACAGAGTCTATAGTCAAGTGAAGAAAAAGACAAGAGGTGGCAGGCCTTGAGACAATAAAATTGTATAAGTCATACCCTCACTTCAAGAAATGAGTTGGTGACTCGAATGTGATTATCGAAAGGAAAAGTTTGACCCCCTGAGTAATAGAAATCAGCATGGGCTAATGAACAAGATAAGTTGAACATGAATTAGGGACCAAAGGGTTTGATAATAATCGGCATCGTGAGAATTTCAGAGATCGCGTTCCAGCAATAATAGAATAGACAACAGAAGAATGGCCTTTAAAATTCATTCAGGAAGACGCTTCCCTAAAGCAAGCACTGTGAGCATAGTTAAGCTTAAACGACTAAGTGTTCCAGTTACACTAGGTGTCACCCTTGTGCATAAGGAATTCAGTTATCCCTGATACAGAAGGGTTACCGTAAGGCAAGTAAGGGTCATTGATGATGTGAAAAGACGCCAAAGATGAAGAGGTAAAATACCTATAGGTAAATCGACACCTAGTACGTAAGGAATTCAGTTATCCCTGATACAGAAGGGTTACCGTAAGGCAAGTAAGGGTCACTGATGATGTGAAAAGATGTCAAGGATGAAGAGGCAAAATATCTATAGGTAAATCGTCGTAGCGCTAAATCTTAGTACTCCCCTAAAGGGGGGAATATAGTGTGATGTGGTATTAAGTCGGAGTTAAGTGGTTCAAATAACTATGGAATGGTAAAGGAAGAATGTGGTAAAAAGGCGAAAGGGATGAGGTTGTATTTATTCAGACCCTACAGATATATCACGACTCCAGAACATTATGCAAGCACGACGCCGAGGACAGGCGCTAAGAGTTCCCGGCCAGGATGTTATTGATAAATAAGTGTGAATGGACGCTTGATACATTAGGAACCAGAGCAAGAGGTATGTTAAGACAAAGGATATATCCCAAGAGAGATTACGTGAAAGATACATATGAGAATGGACCAGGTGAAGATCGGAAGATAGCTTAAGCCTACATATCGGCTGATCAGAAGGAAGAGGAAACTAAAGAGTTACATCAACTAAGTAAATCAGGAGTCTAATTATTGGACCCAGAAAATTAGAAATCATGATTAAGAACATTGCAGAATCACTCTTAATATCATAGGTACAAGAGAGATAGTACTATAACCATATTCTATAACGGCTCTACGAGAAAGCCAGTTAGAAGAGTACCAGCCTCATAATAAGTCAGTATGAAACTCCCATCGGATTGTGTATGCACCAGGGGTGCAAGTATTATAATAGAGCTTCAAGTTATGGATATGAATTATACCTATGTGGAAGGGAGATCATGAAATAGATAGAAGATGTGATGCGAGATTTTAAGGTAAGTAAGGTAAAGGTGAACAACGTACGAGATACTCAGGTGCAGAAGGTTGTGAACAATCTATACTTCGGATAGAAGGCTAGAAGCATGGGGATTCAGTATCCAGGAATGATAGCGGCATCCTCAGTGGCATGTCTTCCAGCCTATGACTTCTAGGTATCGAGAAGTCTAATTAAGAGAGTAAAGAAGAGTTAGAGACGATGTGATGTCTTGCTTGATGTTCCAGAATAACATAAGGAAATATATGGTGCAAACAAGTTGAAGGAAGGTTGCGAATAATATAAATAAATATGTGTAGGTCACAAGATAAAGTATGGTAAAGCGACAGGGTTTTAGGAAGACAGGAGTAAGGATAAGAAAGGGCGAGTGAGAAGGTGACGAGAATGGATAAGTCCTCAGGATTAATCCCATGAAAACAAGAGAGCTAATGGTTTCTCTAAGTTATAGAAAGCTCAGTATAGCCTGAATGAACTTACAGGAGTCTAAGACTAATAGCATTTAGAAGAGATGGAATGTTGCCCTGGTAGTATAATGAGGGTGTAATTGTGATAGTAATAGGATGACGTTTGGGCCTTCGATTGAGTAATGATTTGAAAAGAAAAGGGGGGATTTCATGAATTGTACAGAATTAAAATACCACCATAAGATGAACCACGTAAGGATGCCATGAAATATGGTTATGGAAGTATGGTATCGCCCCCAGGTGGATCGGGAAAATCACTTCAAATGTTCATCGATGCAACATGAGCCCTAATGATTACGTAAGAAGTTTCAAGTTATCAGTGGTAAATTGTAGATCAACATTGAGGTGAATCAACAATGGATGGATAAAAGTTACAAAGCATGAGATGAGACTAGGCCGTCATTGCAGTAATGAGGAAGCATTAAAGGACTACATATGGGATAAGCAACGAGAGTAACCTAGAGTTTGGTAGCAAACCTCAGTAACAATAAACTGAAGTGAGAGTTATGGTATAGTATGACCTATTTAGATGTAGTAAGGCCATAGACGCCCAGAGGTACAACTTGTCATAATTTTGTATATGTTCACAAAGTGAGGCCTAGAGATTAGCTAAAAGCTAGATGAAAAATGAGAGAAGAGTCACATAGGCGCACATACAAGGACAAAGTCGTACATACTGCATGATAGAAGGTAGCAACGTTACGAGATTGGAAGAATTCCAACCATAAGTTATGGTGTGAGAAAGAGGCCTAAAGGGGGGAATGCCCTGGCCTTTGGATTTATTCACAAAACAGTTGCCTAGATGGCAAGGAGAGTATAAATGTACATTGACCCATGACCAGTGCCCTGGCCTTTGGATTTATAGACTTACTTCTTATGGATTGCATTCATTTATAAATGTACATTGACCCATGACCAGATGACATTATATACGCATATATTATATGTATATGAGGTATGGAGAAAGGTTATGGCATTATATATGTATCACCACTTGATCAGCTGGTATACGTTGATGATTTCGCTCATAGTGGCCGAGATGATATGATGGGATGCCCTCAGAGGATTGATAATGTTATGTACACATATACCTATGCATGGTATGACATTTATACATATATGTATGACATTATAGATGTCACATGATTCACAGAGCTATTCAGACTTACAGGTTGAATTTTTTACTCCATGTTTCTTTCATGTCTATTATATACTATTTTTCATGTCTTACATACTCGGTACTTTATTTGTACTAACGTCCCTTTTGCCTAGGGACACTGTGTTTCATGCCCGCAGGTCCCGATAGACAAGTTGAGAGTCCTCCTAGTAGGCTATCAGCTCAGTGGAAGGTGTTGGTACACTCCACTTGCTCCGGAGTTACTTATTTGGTCAGTATGCTTTGGACATGTATTCAATGACCTTGAGGTTGGGATTCCGGGTCGTGACACTAGTATATTCAATGAAATTAAGCAGCTAGAAATTCTTTTGTTGGTTGAGATATATGGTTTTTTTTTGACAGTTTATTACTCTCAAAGAAATTTTAATCAAATAAGAGAATCATTAACTCCTGAAATATAAGTATCTTTTTTTTGTTTTGGAAAAGAAACTCAGACTAAGAAATAACAGAAGGTAGTGTTCAATGGGATTACCATGTGAACTCCACAACATGAGAAAGTTGAAGGTGTAAGAAATAACCCAAGAACCAAACCAATTCATCAATGTCACTAAACCTCCGCCTAATCCCTTTACATGTAATGGAAATACCTTCACATATAATAGAAAGGTTGTTAATTAAGACCATCTTTCTTTCTTTTTTGTATAAAAAGGATAGCTTGCTGATTTTAATTATGACAGTATATAAGATAAAATATAAAATAACATAAACGTTGATTTCAATGTTACCTCACTCATAATGAGCCAAGGACCTGCCCCCATTCCTATTGAAAAGAAGGCTATGTAGACCTGTACCCGATACAAATTTAAAAATAAACCGAGATGTTCAAAGAGTTAATGAGAAGAGCTTATATATAGAACTAAACAATAAAAAGATACAGTTAAGCTTCCATGAGAAATTACATGCCTTTTAAATATATATCCTTTTCCTCCCATTTTACACTACACTGTTCCAAGGATAGGAAGAGCCAATCTAAATTTTTGTTTGATATGGCATTGATAGAATAGTTTTTTCAGAATAAAGTATATAAAATGTATAAAATTAAAAATGCTTAAAGATAAATGTGTACACTGTTTTTCATTATTTTTCTTCTCTTGTACCGTCTTTTAAAGAAAAATGACTCTCATCACTGGATGGAATGAAAGAACTTACCACACAAAATGAAATTACTTTAAGACTACAATAAAATTTTTATATCAAAGTCTTACCAAAACGCCAAGAATAGCAAGGTTGGGGACCAGAGTTAGTGCCACAGAATGAGCCTGTTAGAAAATAAAACAATAGTATATACTTATAAAAATGAATAAGTTCAGAGGGGGGAAAAAAACTCACACCAACCATAACATTAATTAACCTTGAAAAAGAATGAAAATGCAATTAGTAGATTCCCCAACAGCAAGCCAGACGCAGACATCTGAAAAATAAAGAAATACTATTAGTTTTGGATATGTGACCTTCTCTTTCTTTTTGTCCTTGTGGAATTGAACTCAAGGGGTTTGTCCTTGTGGGGAGTTTTGGATTCTTAAATTGAACTCAAGGGGAGTATGAATATTTTCAACAGCCTTTTTGTCTGTAAATTATTACCATTAGAAGGGGTCTTCTACCAGTTCTATCTATCAAAAGTGCACCCCCTGCAGTGACTCCCACCTGAAAGAAAAATATACGTACATTTACATTTTCTAGAAAATTATCAAAGATTTTTCATACTCCCGTTATTTCAATTTAGATGATATATTTCGCTTATCAAGAATCAATTTGACTAAACTTTGAAATTAAATTAGATTAATTTAACTCGGTATTTTTAATTAAAATTTAGATATTCAAAAACTATATGAAAAGTATAAGTTACACTTTTTTTCATGGCAATATGATAAAAATATACATTTTAAAAAGTTGGTCAAACTTCACATAGTTTTATTCTCGTGAAGCGAAATGTATCATCTAAATTAAAACGGGGAGAGTAATTATTTTTAGAAATGAGAAAACAGAAACCTGTAAAATGCCAAAAAGTATCGTTCCCAGACTAGGATTAAAACCTGACATCAAATCACGTATAATTAGTGGAAGATGGCAACAGTGACGCCACAACAAACAACAATAACAACAATAATATAGTTAAAACTACAACATACCTGCTGATTTGAAAATTTCAGTAGAATAGAAAACAATTCCGTTAATTCCCACAAACTGCTGGAACGCCATCAACCCAACAGATATCTAAAGGCAGAAAGGAGCAAAAATAAGTAATGTTAGCTTAACAAAACAAAAAATAAGGGATTAATTATACAAAAGGTCATCAATGATATTAGGGTTGACCAGATTTTAGGCAAAATGATATTCTTGATACAGTTCATATGATGAACCTAGAACTTTTGAACGGGCATGTATAAAAATCTACTAAAATCTCAGTCAAAATTAACTCAAAGAACTCATTAAATTTAAATACTAGATCCGCATTTATCTTTATATATGGAGTAGTAAAGTTTAATGATTTTTTTGTTAGAATAATTAGTTAGATAATTTTGTGCAGTTTGATCATAAGTTGGATGACCTTTTGTGTAAGTAATCCCAAAAAAAAAGGAGTGGAATGATTGGGATGCTTACAATCACAGCTCGATAATTGGATCTGTCGAACAAGTTTACAAAGGTGACTTTGGGGAGCGTTTGAAGAATGGTCAAATACTCCTGTAGGATTGAATCTCAGCGCATTCATCATTCATCATTCGTCTTGTAGTAGAAAAATGGAAAGATGGAGCAAGCTAGCTAGCTAGAGACACATATATACGTACTTGTATAGTGGACCTTTCATATGAAATGTCAGCATGTTTCCCTCTTAGCTTTCTTAGAGCTGCTTCAAATTCTTCTTCTTCTCCATTCATAGCCTGCTCCAACACACTACTTTCTCTTCATTTCTCCTTTTACTTGTTAAGATACGAACTAATGCAGGGAAGTAGATAGAGGCATATCTATGATTCACAATCATAATAGATACGAGTGATGACAATTTTTCATGTGTAAATGACTTGATTAGAAACCACTAGTTTTTTTTCACCTTTTAGAAGACAACTAGTTGAATAGAGCTACAGAGATTGAGGAATAATAAGGGAGATAGAATATAGCAATTTTTTTTTCTAATCAAACTCTATAACTTGTTGTTCTACAACGTTCGATAGGTATACAACGATTTCGCTTGTTTCTTCTCTTTTCTTGGTTGATCAATAGGTGTGGAAAAGAGGCAGAGAAGAGAGAGTTTAGTAGAAGTTGAACCTTACACTTAAATGTGATGAAATGTAATGAAATAGCTAGGGCCTATCGCTATCTTCACGCGAGTTTCAATAGTTAAATAATATTTCACTATTCCCAACAACAACAATTAAAATAACTCTGTTTTCGTCAAAAACAAGTTATCATCGGCAATATGAATCATTATATCTTCAAGTTTAATTCAAATCATTATCATACCAAATAAGTTAAAAATTAAAATAAAATTAAAAAAATATATATATATATATA